TCAATTCACGAAGTATTTCAAAGAATTTTTCTATTTTCTGCGTAGACAAAAACTTGCAAAACTGTAACAACAGTCAGTAATTTACTTTCTATATAGATATTGACAAGAAGGCAAAAAGTTTCAATAATCATTTATTTCAACAGCGCGCAGTACTCGAAAGTATTCAACGTTTATAGCTTATCAAGTTCCTCATTCAATGTTGACTATACCTGTTAACCTTGTGTACCGCATCCTGGATCATCTTGACGACTTTACAATTTTATGCTCAGTCCGCAATGTTTGCACTAGACTCAATATGGTTACCGATACCTATCCTCGATATGCGGTAATTTTTGACATTTTAATAGATTAAGATTTCTCTCATCTTCAAGACATCATTTTATTGAAGAAACGATTATTTTATTTATTGATATCAGAGGACATTATCTTACTGTTGAGAAATATCACAGGAAAAATTTTATTTTTCCTTAAAAAATCTATTTCACAATAGATTTTATACTAACCTTATTCTCTTTTGATACCATGTTGATAAACATTGAAATATTTTATCCAACAATACCATATATTTTTATCATGGAAAAAGTGACATTCAAAACACATCAAACTTGAATATAATCATCCAATACATGAATAATTATCATTTTTCATGTAATAAATATGTTAAACCAAAATATCAAAACATTGAAACCACCCACCCACCCGTGTGTGGCTATTTTCTCACCTACTTGTTTCAACAATGATCCCTTTCTTCCGCTTTTCTCCAGTTCTGTTAAAAGATTCAACAACCAATCATATAAAAGATTATAAGGAGGGTGCTACATACCCCCCATCGTTATCATAAAAAAATAAAGTAACAAAAAACATTTCTTCTACCTCTATATTTATTACACTATGCCATGATAACTCTAATTCTCTCTTCATCTCTCCCATTTTACCATCGCCACTTTTTCACACAGACACTTACCACATTAAATCTCGAAGACAATCAAATCGGAGACAAAGAAGCACAACATCTCGCTCATGCATTACAAAACAACAAGGTGACCCTTATTCTCTATCCATCTCTCTCATTTTACCATCACCACTTTTTTACACAGACACTCACCACACTAGATCTCTCCTTGAATCAGATCGGAGATGTCGGAGCAGAACATCTCGCTCATGCATTACAAAACAGCAAGGTGATCCTCATTCTCTCTTCATCTCTCTCATTTTACTATCGCCACTTTTTTACACAGACAATCACCATACTACATCTCTCCTGGAATGAAATCGGAGCTGTCGGAGCACAACATCTGGCTGACGCATTACAAAAGAACACGGTAACCTTCATTTTCTCTTCATCTCTCTCATTTTACTATCGCTACTTTTTCACACAGACACTCACCACACTAAATCTCGGAGACAATCAAATCGGAGATATCGGAGCACAACATCTGGCTGATGCATTACAAAACAACAAGGTGACCCTAATTCTCTCTTCTTCTCTCTCATTTTACCATCGCCACTTTTTCACACAGACGCTCACCATACTAAATCTCTCCTGGAATGAAATCGGTGATGTCGGAGCACAACATCTGGATGATGCTTTACAAAACAACACGGTGACCCTCATTCTCTATTCATCTCTCTTATTTCACCATTGCCACTTTTTCACACAGACACTGACAACACTAGATCTCTCTTGCAATCAAATCGGAGATGTCGGAGCAGAACATCTTGCTCATGCATTACAAAACAACAAGGTGTTCCTTACTCTCTATTCATCTCTCTCATTTTACTATCGCTAGTTTTTCACATAGGCACTCACCACACTAGATCTTCATAACAATACAATCGGCGACAAAGGAGCACAACATCTCGCTGATGCATTACAAAACAACACAGTGATCCTCATTCTCTCTTCATCTCTCTCATTTTACCATCGTCACTTTTTCACACAGACACTCATCAAACTATACTTCTACAACAATCAAGTCGGTCAGGAACTTAAAGCTCGTTGGGACAAATTGATAAAACGAAATAATGAAGGAAAAAGATAGTGGACTTTGGTTTCATAGATGGTTTTACTGGAGAACTAAAATTTTGAATTGAATTTGTGATTTGATTTGTTTTATTTGAAAATGACAATAAAATGTTCTGTTTTTGAATTTGAGATGTTCGAGTTTTTTGAAAATTGAAAAGTGAAAGACATGAAAATTGTTTTCTTGTTCGAATCTTGCTACATGAATAAGTGGAGTTAAAAGAGATCGAATACTTTTCAATTCCTGATGATTATTGTATATGAGTGAAAATTTTTTTTCGAGATGTCATTAGTATTTTCCAGAAAAAATTTTACGTCGTATCTTACAAACAAATGCCATGCAACAATATTCATCACTTTAGTTGATTCTTTTTTTCTCAATAAGTACATCATCTTTTCACACTGAATTGAAGATCTTTTTTTCTTATTTTAAATCATTATTTAGCATACGTGATAGAAACGTGACATTTTATCTTTAGTTCTCTTGAAAAGCTCATAAGTTTGCTGTTCAAATGTACTTGATTTTTTTACACTTAGTTTTACTTAGATCCATGTTTTTCTGTACATTTGCATGGACATTGGCATATAGTAAAAACACTTTTTCACACCTAAAACAAAATTCTTTTTAATATTGACGCAAATAAATTATACAGTTCAACTGAAACAACGAATGAATTGTTAATTTTAACGATAGAATGACTTCATGAGACAAAATTTTAGAAAAACAAACTAAGATTCATTGGTTTTATTATGTTTTGTTTAGTGCTTACTTTGGAATGCTTAAATCACACGTATATTTCGGTTGTTTTCTTTTTTTATTTGTATAATGTTTTTGCGATGTTTTCTATTTCATTGCCTACATTGCGACTACATCTTACTTATGCTTACAAATCATTAATGAACCAGTAATTACTTCTATCAATATGGATTGTGGGTACTCTGTATTCGTTTCTTTTATATGTCAATTAACATAACATCCTCTACGAAATATCTCGAGATTCCAACTATTCTTTTAATTTAGAACTAGGCAGCACATCTAAATCCAATTCAATAAATGAGTTCATTTGAACGAATTGAAAATAACTTTCTCAGAATTTTTGAGTTTCATTGTATCAAGTTTTAAATCATATACAAGTCGACTGAAATTGAATTGTACAAACACTTCGACAAATCTATAAACTCAAGGGTATTAAAAGGAAGCATTTTTCTAGATTTCATATGTTGAAAATGGCATATGTTGCAATACATCACTGTACGAAACATATCGACCATAAAGAAAGCATAGCGTAACTCTTTTACACATTAAAACAAAAGCATGCAAAAATTACCGATAAACTACATATTTATCATTTGGATTTGCTACATTGCTACTAGTTTCGAAATCACTCACACGAAAGATGTGAGAATCTTCTATTTACAGCATGCAATGATTGTAAAAACTAAGAACCATGTTGCATATTTAGTAATACTACTACCATACCACTTGTCTTTCCTATAGATTAATATGCAAAACATAAATATTCAACTAATGATATCTTCCCATCATATTGTAGATCACGAATAAGCATACATTTATCACACAATCACAAATGTCTCATTAGTATAGCAAAAAATGATTATTATTAAAAAACGTTATTCACTGAGCTACTCGACTAAACAAAATAATTCACTCAGTGAACAATAAACCCAAAGGCACGATAGTGGACCATTTTAGTTTTTATTTATCAATATCTTTCATTCGACCTGTGCAACACTTCATTCGCACTGTACAATTTTACCTAGACCTCTCCCACTGACTGTAAAAATTCCGATAACACAACTCACACAACAAGGTATCTTCCTTTCCAACAAAGAAAATTGAATTCTTCACACGTTATCAGAAGTCTCACCCAACAACAAAATGCACGACACACATCCAAATTCTATTCCAATATATCCCGTCACGAGGAAATTACAAATTAGCAATATTGAAGAAAAGCTTCCAACCTATTTCAGCCGGTGCAAATCATATAAGTTAACACAAACTTTCAGTCCTACACTACGCTGACATACGACAGATTTTCATCCGTTCAAACTCATCAGTCTATTACATAGCCAATGTTCACACGATTGAACGTCGACATCACATCTCTTGCAGCACGCGACTCTCAAACTTCCTGGTCACACTACGGCTCACGCAACACATTCATTACTAGGAATACCCCACCGAAAAACAATAAATACACCTGTTTTCTAACTTAATCCATTCTCCAGATGTTATGCTCCTTCGTCTCCGATTTCATTGCCAATGAAATGTAGTGTGTTGAGCATGTTTAGTGTAGCAGGCGTTTTGGTGTCCGATGGTTTTTTGCTGAAAACAAATGGGCCTGAAGTTGTTTTCGCGTCGGATGAATCTCTCGAGAGACTTAAGTGATTTTTTTAGATATTGAATTAGGTGTATGTTGTTTCACATCAACACATACTCGAAGCTTGTGAGATGCTGGGTAGTCGAAACAGTTCAGAGGATCATGTAAAAGAGATTAATAATAATTGGTTTGCTAAAAATGATAGGGTATTGGTTTGTTTGAAAAGGTGTGAATCTAGGTGACGGTATGGATATTTTGTGTGGCTTCTCTGGTGTGAAGTTTTCTGTTTGACTTAAGTGCTTTGTATGAGGGTTATGATGATGATTGTGAAGGTGAAGATAAAAAACTACAAGTATATAGATAATCTTCTTCAACAAACTCAAAATAATCTTTTAAATTAGCTACATATTTTGATGAAGAACTGAAGTGACTATATAGTTGAGACAGGTACGATTCAACATCGACAGGTAAATATTGATGAGAAGTTTTGACTGAATCAGATAAAATATGACAAAAGCAATTCCCTAAGAAAAAAAGATATATTTCTAGAAGAATTTTAATTTTGAAATTATACTATTACCTTTAAATAGTTTTAAAACTTCAAGTTGTATAATACTAAAAACTGAATGATATCAACCATAATTTATACTTGTATTATCAGCACCAATAGATGTTAAGTTTTGAATATCAAGATTATGTTTTTTTAATATATCGTGAATTGTATCAGCAACATTTTCAGCTGATTCACGTGGCTGTTCCCCAACTTCTAATACAAATCTCACAATACCAGATTCAATAGTAAAGTAATTAATAATAGCGGGAAACATCTTTATGTTCCCCTTGTTAGAACCATCAAACGACAAAGAATAAAAATATGATTTATTAACTTGTTGAATAATTTTAGAAGTAAAAAACGAAGCTAAAATTATAACATATTTTACTTTAAAAAAAACTAATATCAAGCATCAATATTTTCTAAACATAAACATTGAATTGAATAGTTTTTCGTATTTATTTTTATTAGATACTTTTTTTTTAGAAATATTATAGATCGAATTAACTCACCAAGAACATTTACTGATAATTCACGTGCTTTTGTTTTACCACAGCTGATATTTTGTCCTATATGAAATTCATTGAAAATTTTTTTCAAAAGATCAACTGTACATGATTGACGGATATAGCTATATCCGTGAGGGACACTATGATAGATAAGACTAAGTTCAGCTGCAATTGATTTAGTTAATGTTGATGATGGGGGAATAAAATCACGTATTGGTCGTACTTAATAATAAAAATCAACTATTTAAGAAAATGTACTTCGGATTAATTTTATACTTTACAATTTTCTTTTACTTGAGTTTCAGCTAATCATTTATGACTAGCTTGTTCTTTATGACGATTGATCAAATAAACATAATCATTAGCAATAGAAAAATCTGATCTACAAACAGATCAACGAGCAAAATATTTATTAGTTCAGCATTGTCTGAGAAATGCTGCATATTTAGAATCTTTCAGCCATTTTTGATTGAAAGTACAACGTCTTTTGCAGTATGAACTGAGTTTTTTGTTTTTGACATAAGTAGCTGATTTGTCTGAAAAACTAAGATGTTCTTCAACTATTTGTGTTGTTGTTGTTTCTGCATCTGAATCTTCAGAGATTTCAATTTCATCATTATTGTTCAATTCCATATTAAAATTATTATCCAATTCATGAAAGAGAAAATCTAAAATTAGACTTCTTTTTGGTATAATATGCGTTCTTTTATATACTAGAAAAAAGTAATGATAAAGACTAAGAAATGAGAAAAGATACATTTCTTCGAATTCATTTCATTGTGCATTGTGAAAATAGTATTTAAAATCGAATGATTCAAGATTAAATTAAACAAAATAGATACTAACATCTATTGGTCAGTTATTTACCAATACTTTTTATTATAGAGGACTTTATAAAATATAGACTATTTTCATTAGAAGATTAATTAATCACACAATGGACTTAAAAGTCTAAATGGAGTACAAATTTTGTATCCCAGAGGTATAAGATCTTCTGGGGTACAATAGGGCGAAATTGAGTATTGTACCCCAAAATAGTGTACGGTTGGCAGCCCTGCTCACACTAGCACTCACACCCACACCCTCGCACATGTTCTCTTCCAAACATATATGTCATCGCGAAGTTTTGATTTTTTCGATTCAAGTCTCACATAAAAGTGATCGAACGAAGTTTTCTTCTTAGATTTATCACTCGGTTTTTACTTTTGAATGAGCAAGAACAACTCAAGTGATTGACCTCATTTCAAAACTGTATCGGTTCTTAGAAAGATCTGAGAAAATTCTTGATAAGATCTTAGCAGACAAGATGTAAAAATATTTGACGCAAGGAATGTCTGACTGCAAGTACAGTAAATAAAACTAGTAAGATCTTGGCAAGATCTTTCGATAGACCATTCAAAATCTTAGTAAGTAAGAAATCAGCAGATCCGAATAAAAAAATTGTAAGAATGACTAAGATTAAGACTAGGAAAGCGAGTTCATTGGGGTCATCCTATATATTCATTGAACAGAGCACAGTGACAATAAATTTTAGAAAAACATCAGCGAATTCAAGTCTCTCGGCTCGATTTCGTTCCATCACTAGTTGCAATCAAAATTTTCTCTTCAAAAATATTAAACAATCGTAAGTAACATAAGTTCAAAAGCGGTTTCATTTTATTGAAGGAAAAGAATAATTTCATGGAAAAGGTCATCAGTTAATATAGAATAAGAAAAAGAAAAATGACAAAAAGAATAATCGATCCACCAAAATGTGTCTGTGTTGCGCTGTTACATAAATTCGTATTACAACAACACAAAGTGCCTTTTATGTCCAGATTCACATTCAGATTCAGATCGTTTACATCTCTGCAATTATTCTCAGAACACAGAGACGCCGCAACGCTTCCCAGAGCAATAAATTGATTGATATGGCCCCGTTCGACACCCTTCACATTGTTTACTTCTCCCTTTGCTTTCTAGAAAAAAGAGTATAATATAGTGAATGCTCATTTTCATCGTAAGATCTAAAGTTACCCAACACCACTCGTTTGACGACGAATCACCTACGGTTGTAATACCATCTTTGTTAAAGGGATCGTCACAGTTCTTGTTGACGGTACTATCACACTGATAGCATTGGATGGCTGCTGTATGCTGCACGTCTGTTACAAAACAAATTCCTACAATTATGATAGACATGTGTAGCTAATTTACCGATAAGGAATAGAAGCACCGCAAAGATCAAGACGAAGGAATGATGCATATATGCTGTCTTTTATCGATGAAAAAATGAAATGCACTGCCAAAGAGTGACAGACGTTATATAGTTATCGATATTTACTCAAATGTTCTTGGCTTCAACACGTGCCAAAGAAGTTTTTCTACTATCGCAAAACTGATATTTGATATACTCAAGTATTTATGCCATTAATATTGTTGTTTGGAGGCTCGCTATGGTAGAAATATGATCATATTGCATACGAATAATATTTGTCTACACCAACCTTATGTTGGTTTTTTACTTCGTCGTAAATTTTTTCTGCTAACACAGTGTTTGGTAAAGCCTTTCGTTTACTAAAAATATCATATGACAGGTAGTGAAATGTGATAAGAATAAAATGAATCAAGATGTCAGCAATCGATATTCTGAAGCACATCAGAAAGAGAGCAGGAATCAGATATCTTTGTGAAAATGTGGTACATAAGATGAGACCTGCATGAACACAATGTTTTCGACATGGCTGTGGGCGTGTGGGTGCGCTGTAAAAAAAAGTATACAATAATAAACCCTTTAAGGGTTTATGAAAGTGCAACGTATAATTAACCATTTTTACCGTATGTCAAGATTTTCATAAGCCCTCTCATATACCCTTCGGAAGGGTTTATGGAAATTTTGACATACGGTAAAAAGGATTTGTGTGGGATGCGGGTGTGGGTGTCAGTATTTTGGTCTGAGTATGGATGTGAGTATCGGTGTTTTGGTCTGGGTATGGGTGTATGGGTGTGGGTATAGGTTTACCGGTATGGGTGTTGGCATCGGTGCACTGAAGATAGTACACAGACCCACACCCACACCCTAATTCGACCATTTTTTCAAAATCAATATGATGAACTTCGTTTACTGATACAGTTTCATTAAACATCCATTTACATTACATGATCTTAATAATATGCACCTATTACTCGATATTATTAATTTAATCTTTTCAAGTAACAAGAGAAAAAGATGTTTATTATATTTTTGTGAATTTTTTCTTTTTTTTTTGAAGATTTATCAGACAATGCAAATAATATGAATAATATTCAATTATCAGAAAAAAAAAATTATTTTTTAATCAAGCAAAATCATTTGTTTTTTTTTGAAAAAACTATTTAAGAAATGTAGTTTTTTTATTTATAGAATTTTTATCTATATTTTCTTATGTGGTTGACGGTACAAGTTCATCAAATTCACCAGCATTAAAAATAAACTTTCCATCTGTTCCTGCATCACCTCAACAAATAAAAAAAATGTTTTGAAAGTAGCATGAATGATTCAAATAATTCGGAAATTAAGCTATTTTATTTATAGTAGACACTAAAAAAGTTTTTTTTTGTCAACTTTTCTTGGATATTTTGATATACTTTGATAGGTGTCTACAAGAGCAGCGCGAAGAGATCAATGCAGGTGGGGGAGGGAGTTTTAAACATGAGAGAATAGTGTGATCCATCGTAATGGCGCTCCTAGACGATCGAAATCGGGTAGACGTATTGCGAATTTTTTCTCTTCCAGTTCGGCAGGCACAAAAATGTTATCGCTTTCAACTCCCTTTTACGTAAAAGTCGAGCTTTGAGACAAGTTCATAAATCTACAGAGGACTTACAACATTCACTGTGCAGGCAACATTTGTGTGGGTACCTAAAAAATTCTTGAGGAGAAGGAATCTTTTTCTAGCAGAAACATTGTTCCATTTGGACCAGAAAAGTTTCTCAATATTTTTCGCCGCCGAAGGCGGCCACGCTTGCGACAACTGTTAAGCAATGCGATGACTATTGAGTTTCATTAAAAACCCTCGAGCTGATACTAAGTTTTCAAAAAATAGGCAAACTCATATTGCCGCCGAAAGCAACTGAGATTTTAATTATATTTCGAAGTTTTAGTCGTTGCATATGTGATGGGATCAGTTCTTCTTTTTTTGACCAGATTCTCAAAATCTTTTTGAGTTCATTTATTATCGACAAGACCGATAATGCTCACGAAGTTGCTTGAGAAAATTGAATGAATGGTTCTGAACTGCGTTGCCAGAAAAATTCTAGATATTTTAAAAGCACCTCGGCTTGTCGCAGACAGTAATCAAGGTTTTTGATAACTGCAGCCGTGTTGCATAGATGCAAGAGTCCCATCATATAAGATCTTCACAAACTCGAAGAAAGTCGAAATAAAAAGAAGAAATATTCTACGAATTCTGGTAACTCGAAGAAAAATGAGCTCTGAAGTTTACTCAAGATAAGAGAAAGGTGTAGCCGAAATCTTTATAAATCACAGGATGATATAGGCGAACTTTTCTCAAAATCGGAGAAACCTCATCAGAAACTACCATCAAAAATTGAAGAAAACTAATTAGTAATTGTCTCTAAAATCAGAGAAAGTTCACTAGAAATTTTCTCTCAAATTGGAGAAAGTTCTGCAGAAGCTGTCTCCGTAATCAGAGAAAACGAATTAGCAATTATCTCTAAAATAACAAAAATATCATCAAAAATTTTCTCTCAAAGTAGAGAAAGTTCATTGGAAACTTTCTTCGGAATCAGAGAAAACTAATGAATAGTTGTCTCTGAAATAATAGAAACCTCATCAGAAATTTTCTCTCAAATCGGAGAAAGTTCTGCAGAAGCTGCCTTCAGAATCGGAGAAAACTAATCCGAAACTTTCTCCAAAATAGGAGAAAGCTAACGTAAAATTTCCAAAAGCAGGGAGGTACCCTCCTCCCTTTCCCACTCCGCTCGTGTTGCCCCTGGGTGTCCACCTCTTTTCGTTCTCGAATTATTGAAAAGATATTTGCAATCATCATTCATTTTGGGCAGAAGAAGATAATTTTCTGTAATTGATATTTCAGTTTTCACAGCAGAAAGAGTTCCATAGTTTTAGATGTGAAGAATATATTTGATAATGTCTCTAATTCACGGAAAGATACTTGACTTTCATATAGAATTTGCAGAATGTCTGAATGAATATAGTCAAGCAATAGACACATTATGTAGAGTCACGAATAATAGCATGTAAAGGCTTTCGAACACTTTGTTGCTCCAGAGTAACTGCGGTTACATACCATTTTTTAGTTGAAGCCATCATCTTAGTAAAGAACATCGGAATGATTGATTTAAAGATTTCAATTTGAAACTTTAGCAGGAAAACTAACTGAACGGATAAAAATCGGTTCCCTGTGATAGAAATCAGATGTTTTCTCCCTATCTTTCCCAATATTCTTCAACCAGTAATTAAATCTATTTTCTATGATAGTATCATATCACTCATTCATTTGACTTGAAAAATTCCTATGCTTTTACAAGATCTATAATTTTATTTTAGCTAAATAATTTCAAACAATTGCAAATGATTTTCGTTAATTATTAATTCAACATGAAACTGATGAAAGAGTATATATATATCGTATTGATACATCTTCATATATAACTATATTAAGTGAATATTTTAAATTATTATCATCATTTTATATATCATTATTGTTACGACGGACACATTCTTAACATGCTTGATTACACACAAGAAGCATAGTGGTCATCAATATTAGTATCATCATCATGAATTATATATTGAATGTTTAATATCAATAATAACACATCATCAATTATTATGTTTTTTTTTGTTATTTGAACAAAGTAATACATGTACATATGTACAATTCAATTAATCTTAGACATTTATCATATCTTGATCTCATTAGTAGAGAAATTCATCATGAAAATCTTTCAAAACTAACATATTTGAAAATAATAACGGGTCGTCATTATAGTAATACAGGAACACCTTATACAACTAGTAAGTATATTCAATTGTAATTTTTCAAGTTAAAAATATATAAGTATAGTTGATTTATGTAATGAATATTATCTCTTCGTCTAACCGAAATTCTTTTTGATTAGAGACAAGTTGATATCTATTGATCTTTGGATATGTTTAGATTATTATTATGATAATCAGTTAAGGCATTATCCATTATTCTCAATTGTTCCTCAATTTTTCTATCCTTGTGATTCAATTATTGATGTACTTTTATCATTTTGTTATCATTCATTAATTATGGATTCAATTGTCTTTTTTTGAATATGACAATGATTGTGCCTTATCAGTATCATCTATTGATAAAAGGATCATTCTTTCCTCGATCACTTCATCGAACACATGTTCGAGTAACATTACGGAAATTTTATGACTGTCTCCGTTCACTTAATCAATTAGGCTCTCAACTTTGTTCGTTCGCTGTGAATATTATACATGTTTGTAAAAAAGATGAAGATAATATTTTATCTCAAATAAAATCGGTAAATATTTCTTTTGGATATAGTATTTGCAATGATTTAATTGTTTTAGATATCCTGTTTCAAATTAAAACATTTAACAATGACTATTTATCGGAATATCCTTCATTATGAGTAATGTATTATTCCTCTTCTACAGCATTTATCAAATATTGAACATTTAATATTATTATTAGCCATTGGTGTAAAAGACATTGGACCAGATCATTTTATTGATGGATCCGATTTACAAAGAGACATTGTTTCATATATGCCTCATTTACATCAGTTTGATTTTCACATTCGTTCAATAGTTCAACATGCTCCTTGTAAAGAATTAGATATAATTCGTCAGACTTTTGTCAAACAAGAATAATCTATTGACTGTGTACTTGATTACTTCAATAACGAATATGATCAATGTCAAATATATTCATTTCCATTTATTGGAACTCGTCTTGATTTTATTTCGAATCGGTTTCCACTTTTCGATGATAAAAATAGTTTTTTAAATGTTACTATGTTATTACTTTTCGATGATATTAAGTCTTTTGAAAATATTTTTGTTTTGAACACGTTTCTCGAGCTTTACCTCTTTTGAAAACACTCGAAGTATTTAATCAAATAGAACAAGAGAAAAAAAGCAAGACAACAAGTATGATTATTGAATTCTGTCATTTGACCGTAGTTATTTTACATGATATATATGTTAATTATGCTAAGCAACTTCTATGTCAAAGCTATCTTCCATGTCTAATCGAACTTGTCATTCGTAATAATGCATTGTCAACAATAATTGATCAAAATAATCAACAATCTAGAAATAATTGTTCAAAGGTTGAAACACTTCAAATTGTTGAACCATGGATTGAGCCAACAACTGTTCATTTGAAATTTTTTCCACGTTTACATAGAAAAATTCATGATAAAAATTGAAATGAAATGAATAAATTATATAAATATCGACTGATTTTTAAAGAAACTTTTTTGTTGGGTGGTAGTTGTGGTATGAGATGCAGGTGAAGAAAACATGCGCCCTACATCCACATTCACACCCCACATCCAGAAGTACATTTGAGTTCCATTAGGAGGATTGAAGAATGAAAACGGTGAAGAATTTATATATACATATATTTCAGTCACAAATTTTCATAACATTTAACTTATCATTTTAGATATCCTACTGAATGTTCTGCAAACAAAAATAAAATTGACAATTAAATTGAGCTACTGCTAACGATTCTATGATCATTTTTCTATAGCATTCACGTAGTAACGTATATACAACGAACATCTCTTGATGAAAGACACAAAAAAACATTGAACAAACACATTTGAGCCAATCAAATTCTTATTCATTCTGTTTCTTTATTTATCTTGAGATCTCATATCTGACTTCAAATGAAACAAAAAGCATCGCGCGCATATCAGTCATTTTATCAGTGGTTTATTTTAAAATAAGATGATGTGGGCTTGTCTTCTACTACTGACAGTGTGGTATGCTGCTACTCATGGACTTCTATATCCTGCAGAAAGTGAAACAAGACAAATCAGATCATTAAATGGTCTATGGCAATTTCGACTAGACGAAGAAGGAGTAGGTGAAACTGAACGATGGTTTGCCATGCTTAATCTACCTCAACCTACTATTCTTATGCCTGTACCAGCCTCGTACAATGATATCACACAAAATATTACCATTCATCGACATATTGGATGGGTATGGTATGCAAGAGATTTCTTTATACATAGTACAGCACCTCGTTGGGTACTTCGATTTCAAGCTGCTCATTATGAAACTCATGTTTGGGTGAATGGACAAGCAGCAATGAATCATTCTGGTGGACATCTACCATTTGAAGCTGATATCACATCATTCATTCCAAATGATGCAAAGTCTTCCAAAATGCGCATTGTTGTAGCTATTAACAATACTCTTACACCAACAACATTACCACCTGGTGAATTAGTGATTCATAATCCAACTTATCGCGAACTACAAACTCATTTCGATTTTTTTAATTATGCCGGTATTGATCGTTCTGTCATACTTTATTCTACTTCAAAAACTTACATTGAAGATATTGCTATCGATACACAAAGTATTGATTATGATAGTCAACATATAGCAACATCCGCTGTTCTTAATTATACTGTCACCATTGGTGGAACTAACCAGACTGATGCCATTCGTGTACTCATCCAACTCTTAGATGCTAATGGCATGATTGTGGCAAACAGTACTGATTTTCAATCATGTCTTGTTGTCAACAAACCCAATCTATGGGAGCCTTGTGGAATGAACCATACTCATCTATGTACCGAAGAAAGTTATTTATATACATTACAAGTTACACTATATAATGATGCACAACAGACGGATGTAATGGATATTTATCGTATACATCATGTTGGTATTCGTACTGTTAAATTAACAGATTCAAAATTTTTGATCAATGAACGTCCCTTCTATTTTCATGGAGTTAATACGCTTGAAGATAGTGAAATTCGAGGAACAGGATTTGATAGAGTGATCATTGCTAAACATTTTAATTTATATGGTTGGATACATGGTAATGCATTTCGTACATCTCCTCATCCATATCCTGAAGAATTTTATCACATAGCTGATCGATTTGGTATAGTAATTATTGATCAAACTGCAGCAATTGGATTAAATAAACCTGAATATTTTTCACAAACTACTCTTGAACATCACAAACAAATAACCAGAGAAATGATTAATCGTGATAGAAACCATCCATCAGTTGTCATGTGGTGTTTAGCGAATGAACCTCAATGTACTTTTTCACAATCGAAATCATATTTTAGTGCATTAGTTAATTTTACAAGATCGATAGTAGCTGGTCGTCCTATTACTTTTGTTACGAACTTGAATTTTAACAATGATCAATGTATTGAATTTTTTGACGTGATATCTCTCGATCGTTATGTTGCCTGGTATAGTGATTATGGACGTTTAGATCAAATTTCTAATATCATATCGCAAGATCTATCAAATTGGCGGTTGACTTATCCAACAAAACCGATATTGATGAGCGAATATGGAGCAGACACGATGCCAGGTCTTCATAATGATCCACCATTTATGTTTACTGAAGAGTATCAAAAGGACTTTTATTCTGCTTATCATATTTCTTTTGATAATGTTTCCTCTCTCACTCATCCTGATACTGGTTATTTTATTGGTGAATTACCTTGGACTATGTTTGACTTTGCTACTGAACAAAGTACCGTTCGTATTGGTGGTCTCAATCGCAAAGGTCTGTTCACCCGACAACGTCAACCAAAAGCAGCTGCTTATGTAATTAAGAACCGATATGAACAACTAGAATTGTTGAAAGTAGTGAACCACAAGACTAGCTGATGAATAATCAATTTTTCCATTTATAATCTAACCATAATCCTTCTAAACAACTATTGTTTTCTCTAAAATTTCGTTTCTATCATTTAAAGCTGCTTTACTTATATGGAAATCAGAAAATATCATATAGAATGGGACAATTGTCTTCAGGGCTGCCCTCTCCTAAATCTGCCATTGATTATGTTTTATTAAGAGTTCACATCATTTTATTGTTTATTGATAAAAATCATTTTTCATCTGGAATTGTTTCAATGAACAAATTATTATTCACAAGAAATTTAATTGTTCAATCTGAAATATTTGTTAATTGGCTAGATGAACATATTTGAGCAATACGTTCTTTTATTATCCAAAAAACTTGTTTTAGTAAAAATAAAAATTTGTATTGAAAACAAACTTTGATTTGATTATTCGAATTGATCAATTTTATTTTATAATTATTTTATAGTCTCACTTTCCAATTGACGAGATTTTTTTGTAATAGCAGACATTTAGCTTTATAATTTGTATTAGATTTATCTTATAGATTTTAATAATATATGATCTATAGAATTAAACAGAGATGTACTAATACGAGTCTAAGTTCTTTTCGTTGATGATTTTAAGTTCAATAACAGAAAGCAGATAAAATTTATTAAAAATGATTTTCAACACATTCAAGAATTAATTTCATATAATCAACATATTTTAATCGTATTTTAAGATGATCAATCTGATGAGATAATACAGAACATACGTTCTCTATGACGGTAAATTCCAGTTTCGCCGAAAATGAAGTTCACCGATTCCATTATCGCCGAATGAATTTATCACTGAAAACGAATATAAGTTACAGTTAATCGGTCTTATAGACAATAATTATATTTTAGTTAATTACCTCATGATACCGAGTGAGATGGCTACCAAGTCAGTTGAATTGACGTCCAAGTCAGGTGGTTACCAAGTCAGACGGCTACCGAATCTTTTACCTTCCAAAAATGAATAATGTTAAACCAAACAACGATATAAAGTTTTTATGTACAACATCTTTGTTTACTATTCCTTGTTTTCTTTCACTAGTATGACGAAGTCTAAACTATAAACCTCCATCAAAGCATAAAGGCTATATTGACACCACCAGTCTTTTTCGTACAAATTAAGACATGAAATTTCTTCTAGTGGCATCTATTTAACCAATGAACAGATTTCTTCGGCATGATAACAATCTGAGTTGTTATTATGGACTAATTAACTAAAATATAATTATTACCCATAAGACCGATTAACTGTAACTTATATTCGTTTTCGGTGATAAATTCATTCGGCGATAATAGAATCGGTGAGCTTCATTTTCGGCGAAGCTGGACTAAATCGTGGATAATGATACGTGCCATGGCGCTATCAAAATGTATTGCAAGTCTGATGACTAATACAATGATTTTACATTTCAAAAAACATGTTACGATTCAGCCTCTGACAGAGTCATTTGTTTTCAATTAAACTTTATTATTATTTGAAGGAATGACTTTTTAATTAGAGTGCCATCTTCTGAGAATTGCTTGAGTAGTTGAGTTGAACTTTCAGCAGCTTTCATCTTCTTAAAAAGCAAGAATTTTTGAAAAAAGCCTCGATACTGCAATACGTTCAGAGAAGTTTCGTCAAACAAAATACATTAAATCTGTAGAATTGAACCTGAAGGATGAAATTTGCTTTGCCGAACATCTGTTGTTGAATCTTAGTTATGTCTTTAACATTTTATATCATTTGAATGTATCTGTATTGAGATTGATTGTTAAACGGCAAGGAGGGCGAGAGGTTGAATAAAAAAGAAAGCTAGTTAGCACGGTTCCTCTGAAGCTTAAATATGGAACTTACATAGCGCCTTTAACCTCATTTATACTGACATAAAACTGTTTTCATATGTAGTCAATTAACAGCAAAATAATCTGTCTTAGTTCGTTGTACATTTTGAAAAGCATATTTGACTTTTTTTCGTATTTTTTAAATTTAACTGTATTATCGTTTGAATCGCTGATTATCAATCACGAATTGCTTTATAGCTAGTAGGTAACTATGCAACACTTTAGATAGAAAAATAATAGAGCTCAGTCACAAAAACAAATTTGTTATGGAAGACTTTCTTCTCAATTTTAAATCGTTTTTGCATTCTATTAGAAATTGGTTGATTAAATATCAAAATGATTACAACGGATTTGTGTCAAAGTAAAATTGATTCCTTTCGTGTTCTACGGATCGTTTCTTTGAACTAATGAAGATACTTGAGATGATCCAACATCCTTCTTACAGAAAAACAAGAAGATACGTATTATATTTTCGTTTATGTTTTACTAGTCAGATCGAACAAACTGTTAAGAAAAAAAGATTGATTCGTTAAGCTTCCGTTCTCTAATGCTCTCAATGAAATAATTTGCTTTTTCTCCGTCTGTTTTTCTATTTATTAAAATTTGATCGATATTGTTGAATTTTGAATATTGATTAAAATAGATATGACAAAGATTTGGATGGCTTCGAAAAAACGAATAAACATAATGCACTTACTTCATTGTCGAAAGAATTTGTTTCTGATAAATTTTTATTTACACTGTGACAACTATGTAAAACAGTAAAAGAGTTATTTCAACATTGTCTTGTATGGATTTGGATAGAAGGCTATTTACAAATATCAAGATGCTTAAATGCAAAAATAATTTAGTTCACAGTATAAAAAATTAACAATTACCAAAGTGGTTGATAATGAGAAAAAAACCGAAATTGTTCGAATCTTTATTTTTGTAAGAATAAAGAAAATTCTGATGATTGATATGAATAGTATGAGCTTTTTTTTAAAGAAATTTTCTTTTGAGGACATTGCACATACATATTCGACAATCGTACGTGCACTTATCTTACGTCATGTGAATTTATTATATACACAAACCGTCTTCCATAATAAGCTAAATGGAATACTTTGTTAATTCTCTTTAATTTTATCGGTATTCCAATTTCTTCCTACTTCAATCAAGTACATAAATTCATGTGTATTTCTATCCCTCAAGCCAACATTTTTGTCTGCTTACTGGTACGTTTCGCGAATATGTTGAAGAACATGCAAAAGATGCAATAGTTTTCATCGACATGTTTCTTAAGTGTTCTACGTCGTACTTTAATGAAATCTTTCAGAAATAATTAAATTAACTCTTTTTCAAAGAGTTCATCGTGTCTATTTTGTTGATGTGGTCAAGTTATGATTCGATCCTAATCTTAATAGTAGATCCTTGAGAAATGAAAGGATGAATTAAATATTGCTTTTTCACATCTTAGATAAAAAAGCCTAATTTATTTACTGAAGCTTCTTTTTCTTTTTTGTTCATTCCTTATCATTTTTTTCTTTGTATTATATCTTAGATAAATAGCGCTATAATGTCAAAAAGTACAAAATATAATTTAAAATTTAGGTGAAACTGTTTGACTTTATACCGTATTCATTAGATTTTCTATTATCACTCTCATCTAACGTTGAAAACTAATGAATTCAAACTCTCAAATATTGAACTTGGATCCATTTGTATCGTATTATAGAAATTCGCTTTGCAATCTACAGACTACTAATAATGAATTATTGAAAGAAATTCTTCAGAAAAATCATTCAACTGCATTCTACAGAGATCAAGTAATATTATGTTTACCAACGCATGATTTGCCTTCTGGCGAAAATGTTTATGTATCAATTGATGAATTTCGAGAGAAGATTCCATTAACAACTTACAAAGACTATACAGATTATATTGATCGAATGGTTATCGAGGGAGAAAAAAATGTTCTCTCGTCGGAAGATCCAGTTTATTATAGTATGACTTCTGGAACCACGGCAAAGATTAAACTCCTTCCTGCGACATCAGTCACCATAAGAAAACTTAATGAATCATTTGTATTGGGATTTCATATTGTCCGAAGATCATTTCCTTCTTCGTCATCTTCGTCTTTTAATCAACGAGTATTTACCTTACAAACAGGAAGAAAACCGAATATGTTTCCAACATCAAAAGATGGTATACCAATGGGTCCTATTAGTAATCGTATGTCAGCTATTGGATCGCTTTCTCGAAGCTTTCCATCGGTGCCTATTAATCATACTCTATCACTCGACCTTGTTGTAGAAATTACCGATTTTGAGACGAGTATATTCGTTCAATTGGTTTTTGCGCTTGCAAATTTGAATATTTATAGCTACCAAGTTACATTTGCTTCCGGCTTCATTCATACTATCAATATCATTGAAAATTATTTTGAAGAAATTAGTCTTTGTATTTCGACTTCTAACTTCAAGCATAGTTCACTCGTTCAAAAGAATATTTCTGATCCGAATTTCATATCGATTTTAAATGAAAAATTAAATGAAGTAATAGTCGAACATGGAGGAGAGACATATGCATTGGAACGAGCTAAACATATTCGAAATGAATGTTCGAAAAAGAATGTTCCCGGTATTCTTCATCGTCTTTGGCCAAATTTAATGTTTGCTACAACAGCTATCGGAAGTACATTTGCAATATATAAACCTGATATTCAATTTTATTGTGGGGAACATTTGCCTTTAATCAATCACATGGTCTATGGATCAAGTGAAGGACGGTTTGGTTCTCTTGCAAGTATTCACACAGACGAGTATTTCCTATTACCAACACATGTATTTTTTGAATTCATCAAAGAAGAAGATATTGAACAAGTAAACCGTTTGAAATTTAAGTCTTGAGAAGAGCATACAATTTCTATATTCTCTGAGTGTAAGTGCCTATACTATTCAGCCGTCAAATCGCTTTTTGATGGAGTATGTGCTCAAACGATAGACTTCTCGAAAGATATGGTGGATATATATTTTTTGACTTGTTTTTGCGGTACACATAGAAAGAAAGTTGCATCTTTCATCGTTAACAAAAAGAAGAAGAAAACGCATCAAACTAGATGTTATAAAATATTTTGGCTTGGCTTTTTCGAGGGTTATCAATCTAGCTTTTTGGAAATCAATGTACTCTGATAGGTGACTATAGTAATTTTGAAGTTATTAGTGATGCCTTTTAATAACCTATTGAAGAGATACAAGATTAGAGAAAACTTTGGCTTTTCGATTTTAGCATGTAGAAGTTAAAAACATTAATACTCGAAAATTTAGGCTAGTAGTTTTTCTATATTAATATATATGAAAACAATCACATCGAAACTCTTTCACATATTATCATCAACCAGTTTTACGAGACTTTTCTTTTCGAAAATTGATAAAAAAAAAAGATCTCAAAAAAACATTTGGAGAAATCCATTATATATATTTTTTTAATTTATTGTCATCTAATCTTTCTAATGATACAAAAAACAGATTTCTATCTTTTATACTACAGAACCAATTCAAGAAACATTCATTCACTTTATTCTTCAAAAAAAAATGCATTTTTATAGCTATACTAGTAACAGTAATAATTGTTGTGTATCTCTCTTCCTAGAATACCTAGAAAACCAAACTATTGTAGATTGTTGAAGAATTGATTGAAATCTACTGTTTGAGCACATACTAAATTAAAAAGTGATTTAGCATCTGAATATATTCTCTTGTGAATGATTTATATAGGCAAGATTCATATCAATTCTTAGTGATGACGTTGATATTGTAAGGATGTTTTCATTAGGAAATTTTATAACCGAACTGCTTTTTTTTGAATTATTTCTTATAAATAATTCGCATTTGAGTAGACAACACTCTTTCGATATTTGAAATACGTATTTCATACTAACAGTAATGCAAACAAATTTGCGATATAATTACTTCTTGTATTCGACTTTTTCTTTAGGCACAACCAAAAACTCTTCTGATCTCAGAGATCGAACCAGGACATCGATATGAATTAGTGTGTACGACTGATGCAGGATTGGTTCGATACAGAATGGGAGATGTAGTCAATTGCACACGATTTCTTTGTCGAGCCGATGATTTGGTTCCATTACCCACAGAACCGGTAGAGATTCCACGAATTCCTCTCATTTCTCTTGCATATCGTGTTGGATCACTTTTGGATGTATTTGGAGAGAAAACAAATGAAGTACATTTAATGAATGCTCTTCAACAGACTGTTCATCAATGGAAAAGTCAAGGAATACCAGTTGACTTTTGTGATTTCACGTCATATCCAAAATTAGATGCATCTCCGGCTAAATATGTTATCTTTCTCGAATTGTCTGAAGATCAAAAATGCAAGATTAATGCGCAACAACTTCAAATTCTTAAGAGTACCGCTAGTGAAGAAGTCAATCGACAACTTAGTAAAGCTAACGAAGTGTATGAAAAAGTTCAACATTTTAAGGTTCTTGATCGACTTGATTGTATTCTTGTTCGAAGTGGAACATTTTCAACTTTCTTACGGAAATTCTTATGGACCAGTCGTTCTAGTCCTACGCAAATTAAACCTCATCGTCTGTTAAAGAATGAAGAACATATTCGATTCTTTTATGACAATCAAATAGATACATCATTGTCTTAATTATGACTACGATCAAATTAGTTTTCGATTGATTTATTAGTAATTTTTTTTTAAAATTAAATATTGATTCGCTTAAATTAATAAATGCTTAGTGGTATTTTTGATAAAACGTTATCCTTAAAACATACATTCGATTGATTAATAAATAATACTAAATATGTCTAGTTACCGCGATCATTTTGGATATAAAATTCCATCAACTGACTCTACACTTAAGACGAATATTGAATTAAGTATATTAGTAGTAAAGTGATTTGAATTGCTATCATAAAAATTTCATCTAATAAGTCTTCTAGATAAGTGACAAGCAAAAACATCAAATGAGGGTGTGGGTGTGGGTAGGTGTGGATGTAGGTGGAGTGTGGATATCTCTTTTAGAAAACGCGCACCCACACCCACACCCACACCTTCTGCAAAAGAACTCTAGAAAATCTGACGCTTGTTATTCTCAATTATTAAAGTCTGTAGTGGTGGATTGTCTGTAATGGGAGGGTGTCTGTAATGGGGAGGGGGGGAACCTGAAAAATCACGACTTAAAACATACATTCATTATGATTTTCTTCGAAAATATATGTGAGTTTCATAAAAATGTTAAATGTAAACGCGAACGAATGCTTCTATCTCTCGTCGACATATTGGACACGATCGTAATGAATGACCACACGGGACACATGTAGCAAGATGTCCACATGGAATACAAGCGAGACGTTTCTCTTCACTCATGCATATTGCGCAAGGATTTGTTAACGTGGTAGCATTTGTTTGCATGGGCTCGGCAGATGTTATTGTAGGATTTGACTTTGCTGTTGTTGTACAATCCTTGGAGTTCGATTCGATGTTTGATGATTGTGATGTTACACTCATTTCGACATTAGAACTATCCGATGGCGCTGCCACGAGCGATCGCACAGGAGATGGTATCAATGCAGATGCAGCAGCACGTGCTTCTAGAAAATAGTCACATCATAGTCGTTATCTATAGGTTACTTTTTTTTCGGAACTTACCAGCTTGTTCACTCTCACAAATTTGTCTCATTCGTATACTTGGTACAATGATATTTTCTTTTTTGCCATTAATATGATCTATTTGCTTTTGTAGAATAATACAAGCCATTAGTAGATCACTATCAGTTTCAAAATCATCCTCTGAAATAAAAAAATTAAACAATTAACAAATGCTTGTTTTTTATACGTTATATAGAGGATATTTCAACATACGTTTCAGTCGTAACTGATCTTCCCAGCATCGTTTGATTATCGATAACTTAAAGTTTTGATCCAACAATCGTTGAGAAATTGGCAAATCCAAACGAGCAGCGACAAAACGTGACAATGCACTTTCATTAGTTATTTGTAATTTTTGAGTACTCGGATTCGTATTATTCGTCGGATCACTAGCTTGAGCGCGCTCTAAAACAAAAATAGACAACATCATATATGCATTGTCTTTCGAAGATCGAATGAAAATAATCCTCACATGGCCTTTTTAACCAAGTATTTTTCAATCATTTTCAATTCAACAATTTGATGATGTTTCACATACCTCGTGCAGCTCGTTTTGATTCCTGAATTTTTCGATAGAGATCATCTCCACAAAGTTGTTTGGCATAGGCACAGTAAGGAAACCATCTCGCATGCTCTATCGTTGGATTATCATTTGCGCCCCAGTTTTGAAGCGATCCATTGCAATAAAAACAAGTAACAATCGTTTTATTGCCTGTGTAGAAGAATCCAGCACGAACAAGATCATCTACAGCAGGTAAAGTTTCTTTAGGCCAATTAGCAAATGTTGCATGCCGCTTCGGTATTTCTATAAAACCACTATGGCAAGCCACTGTAACCACAATTTCATTCGAACGAATTGTATCGTCAGCAGCATTTGCTGATGAACAGTTACTAGAGAAATTTTCATTCAGGATCGATATAGATGTAGTTTCGCGTTGTGTTAACTTTCCCATTACATAAGGACACTTGGGTGATAATGTTTTATGTATTTCGCATGGATCATCTGCATGTGGTGTCCATTGTTGACAAATAATGTTACAATAGACACAGATCACTCGATCGCCAACATTACAATTGAAAAATCCAGCATCGATCATTTGTGCTCGAGATGGCGAATCTCGATGTGGCCAGTTTGAGAAAGTACGACGACGTACTTGTTTAAGCATATCTACTTCTGTAAATGTATATGAATCAGTTATGTAATTCGATATTTCAACTTTTTGGCGCTTGGAAGGTATCTCTTGTTCGCTTAAATTTGAAGTTATTTTATTTTGCAGAGTCACTAGCGCCGGCAGATTAGATAGCTGAGAGACTATCTTCGATGGTCGTATAGAACAGATATATGGACAGTTTGGACTGCGTTCCGAGTGAATAGAGAACGGATTCATATTGAGTGTCCAATCAGAGACTTCCAGTTGACAGTTATCACACCGAGCTGTATCCCTAATAAAGGTATATCTAAACCCAGCTGCCTGCATAGCATTTACCGAATGAACACCTGGCTTTGTGGACAAAGTTCGGCACAATTCCAAAGTTTTACGATAGTTATCCAGACATGATTGTGTTGATTTAATACTACTGGATACCTGTAAGTCCGGTGGAATCCTATCAGAAGTTTTCGAAGTGTAACAATCGGATCCGATTGGGCTTTCACAACTCCCAACAGAATCTCCTCGGACTTCGTCGGATGTAGACGACATTACACTCGATTTTTTATGGTCATTACAATCGGGTTGCTTGCTTTGGATAGGAGAATTTATCGGCGAGAGATTTCTTTTTAAATTGGTACTAGATTGATCTTGCGATAAGTGTAATGATTTTTTAGTATCTGGTATCGAAGAGTCATTCATTATTTTTTTCGTTAAGATCTGATGATTGGCTTCAGAAACAAGCGGGTTGAGTATCATCTTTTATCATAAACTTATAGGCTGCAGTGATGAAAGCAATATGAGGAACATAGAATAAATCTATGGATGAAATTCTTGTCTAAAAAATGTTTATAGACACTCATGATCATTATGTATTATCTTTCTTGCACAAAGGAATATTCGAGAGAAAAAGAAAAACTAATCTTCGTCACATCATAAATAGGCGGAGACAAACAGAAGTATACGAGTATCGTGTCATTATAATAAAAATGACATGTTGATAAGTATCCTGCTTGAGTAAAACGAAACTTTTGTTGTTAAGACCAATCTTCGGTCCACAACATTTTTGGCACGTAACTATGTGAAAATAACAAGTAAAATATGAACAATTACCCTAGCTGTATTATATTCTCAACCCGCGTATTTAGATCAAGTCAAGCCTGTTGGTGGCGAAAATCATAAGTCTAAGATCTCGCGAAACAAATCGTAAAGATTCATTTAAATTTTTAATTCCGATATTGTTATTGAGACTACATTCGAATGGCTTTTATAAAAAGAAATAACGACCAACTGTAAGTGTCTTCAAAGAATATGAAAGCAGCTGAGTTTAAGTTTGAAATAGAAGTGACACTTTATGTTTACTTTTTACAAGTAAATACTTTTTATTCAACTTAAAGAACGATTAATTCTCACGCTTGAAAGAAATGCAATCAGTCTGATCGTATTAAAATTTTATGCTCTTTCTTTTAATATATGGTTTACAATATATGAAAGTTTGGCATCGTGAATAAGAAAATACTTACTTCTAAAAAATGAAGTAAATGTACTACCCGTAGCTTTAAGCTATAGTCCTTAACTTTGTTAAAACCTGAAGAAAATCTCACTGTGATTCTCTCGAGGCCTTAGACCTATGCTTTTCGTCATGAGCATACTTGACTTGATTCTAAAGGCGGATATCGAAAAATCAGGCCTTGAAAAAATTCTAATAATCTCATATGAAAACACAGCAATAAAAAAGTTACATTTTATCTAAAACTACACAATATTGTTAGGATGGTAGCTCATATAGAACCTATTCTCTGAAAATGGTTACTTGCCCAGTATGTTATCTGTTGAAAGGTGTTCTTATCGATGGTAGTTCTGTTTTGTGCATGATGTGAGAGCAGAACACCTTTTTTTATAGTGTTTTATAACTGGAAGGTTCCGTTTACCATTTTTCTTCGTCATTATTGACTTTGCGTCACTAGGAAGTCAGATTTGTTTCAATTGCTATGACGATTATAAATAATGTATGTTATGTAATGTCTTTTGAAAAAAATTTTTCATAATCTTTTTCTTTGCATTAAATTTTACCAACATAACATACATAATACTTATCTTTTATCGTCAAAAATGTCAAGTATCAGATTACTTGAATAAAGCAACGCGATATAATTACACATACAGTATAAAAAGCCTAAGGAAAAAAGAAAAAACCTAGGTTCGTATGCAATCATTTGATTTATTTTATGTCATAAATTTTCATGATGGAGTGAGACAACAGAATTCGATAGTATTTACCTTACTTCAGCATAAAATTACCGTTTAGGATATCATCGAACCGATGTATCGTACTTTCGTCGATGTAATTCAATTTTCTTCTGAATATTAAATATTACGATGGAACGTCCTTGATTTTACCGGGCTGTATCCTTTCTGTTCTCTGCATGACAATGGAAATCTTATTGTCACATTTTTGCGTAAGATATTACACAAACTTTAATAGCATACTCAACTTGCGATCAGAGCCTCCCTACATCTTATTTATTCCTCCATAGAGAAGCAGAATACCCTCTTCGAAATGGCGCTAAACAACTTGCTCAAAAAGTAACATGTCGTAAAGACAGGTGTGTTATGTAGACCATCTCGACAAAAAAAGATGCTCACGCGAATCTCAACAGAACGACAATAAACTCCAACGAAACATGTGGATGCTACGTTAGACATTGATATTGTTGTTGGTTACTCTGCACAGAGCGCATGAAATTGTCGTTATTTATAAAATATTACCAATCGTTACTAATGCGTTTTGCCTTATCTGAGTAGTGAGTGAGCGCTGTGTTTTTAAAAGTTGGAAGAAACCAACTAACAGCAATCAACAAAGTGCACCTTTCTGTATTTGCTTATCAGACTTCTCTGCGCAAATGGAAAGAATACTTCAAGTGCATCTTATTCAAACACGTTTTTTTTTCATAAAGAAGAACAAGACAAAAGCATGTACGTCAATTAAGTTTTGTTTGTTCTATGCAGACAACTAAATCGATTGAAAAAAATACTCTAGCTTTGTTACTTCATTACTCACAAACAATACACTTCCAATAGAAAATCGACCAGTATGTTAGGCGGAGCGGATGTGGGTGTGGGTGTGAATATCAATCTTGTGATCATTCACGTCAACACCCACACCCTTGTCTCTCTCCTGACTTCTCTCTCCTCCTCTGCTTCCTTTTTCGCACATAAGCTTGCGTTCTATGTGGAGCAGACATAACTGGAGTGATCTAGTGGTGTAATAAACCATCTATACATAGAGTGGCAGTAACACTACTCTTCCAGTTTGTCATTATTGATCACAACAAAATACATATTGCAATAGTAGCGAAACAGTATATCATCTCTCTCGCATCTTCGATACATGTAGAATTTTGAAATTTTAATCTAATTGTAATCGCTAAAATTTCTCACTGGATACGATCCAGAAACAGCCTAAATCGACTCGATATCATGTGCTTAAAAGCTTTCTTCATGAAACTTTTTTTTACTCGAGCTACTTTTCGAGAGATTTCGTCCAGAAAGACGAATATATCAATCGATCAAATTCATTCCATCGCTGCACTCTTTGACCAATGATTATATAGAGGAGCGAAAAGGCTGTGTTTTGTGACAAGCTTCCGCTAAGTGTTGCATGTAACAAATCAGAACACGTCTACTATTCTATGAATAAGAACTTTTTGCTTTCATGTGAAAATCTTAGACTTAAATGGAGTATGTCGAGATTTAAACAATTTATTTTTGGTGCGTCTATGCCATTGAAAAATAACTATTAAAAGTTCTTGAGTTCATTTCTATGTTACCCTTCGAAAATGGAAATCGAGTCTTCTACTGCTGGCACTCTCAGTGACATCTAAGCATAGAAAAAGTTACTCTGTTTAACGTGATTTACACTAAGACTGTTTTATGCATAAGAGGTATTTCAGTCAAGACAATCGATTGTATATTCTGAGTATCATCAAATGGAGCTCTCTTACAATTATTTCATGGTCATAAAAATGCTACATGCCTATGTCTCATCATTTTTTTCTTGTTTGTAGCCACTCTTTACTTTTTATTTTAATTTTATTACTAGTCTAATAATGTTGAAAACTAAATATACTTACATGCTAAGTAATACTGGAGTGTACAATTTTTTTTTGTGTGCTTGTAACATGTTTTACCGTGTATTTAATACTAAAATCATTATTTGGTTTTTACCCATCAACGTATATTCATGTGAATCAACGAAGCATGACTTTTCATTACATTGACGGCTTTTTCCATCCATGTGTTCGTCATTATATATATTTCATTTTTCATATGTTCTCCCTTTTCTTAATTTATATTTACGTTTCGTGTTGTTGCGATGAGTAAATATACATTCGTAGTTACATTCACGTAAATTTGAGTCGTAATGATTCATTGGATTTTGAACTTTATTATAATATATGTAAATATCTTCTATTGTAAAATGTAAAATCTTTTATTAAACATATAATTATACAAGCAGTATCGAAAGCTTGTAAATAAGAAATGAAAGATTTCATGTATATTTTTTACTTAATCTTTCAGTTTATCAGAAACTCTATTTACAATCCAAGCTTAATTAACTGAATTCAAAGGATATATAGCGAATCTGATTTAAGAAGATTCAGACATGTCGAGAGATTAACGATGAAATTAGCAGGATGTGGATGTCCGGATCTATTTATATTTACCCACATCCAGTTAAGTGAATAATGGAGAAATGGTCATTAAAATGCATTCCGGTTCGTACATAAACCATTTTGATCATTTTATAATGACTAAGTCTATTTTTTCGAAGTTTTGTGTTGATTTAAATATGCTGATAGTTTCTAAAAGTTATATAATTTACTGTAGTCTTTGCTTAACGAGCGCTCATACTTTACACAACAGTCAAGAATATAATTCGAAATTTACACTAAAAGTCGATGAAATTTTCGATCTTGATGAAATCAAACTTAGGAGTAGTCAGAAACAGTTATTTTTTCATAATTTTTAACAATTCTCAAATTTGCATGAATCGTACTCTTCATAACATTCACTGTACCGAGTGTCTCAAAAGTTCCTTCCTGAAAGTTTTTTCGTTTCATTTCACCACAGTTGAACTTCATCGATTCATTTTTTTTGTATAATAGATAAATACATACAGTTTTTATTTCCACAGACGAATTTCACAAGCATTGTTCAAAGCTAAGGCGCTTAACAAAAATACAAAAAATTGACCTGTTGTCTCTTTCCAGAAAAAACTCATGGATGATGTGTGTTTTAATTGTTCGAATTTTGATTTGAAACTATTTATTTCGTTTTCATAAAGGTATACCGAAATAAAATTCCATGAAAAGACTGTTCAAGTATTGAAAAATTTAAAGATTTGAATCATTCAACAACTAGAAGCAATTAAAGAAGAAATACTACATAATGGTTTTCCTAAAAAGAGAAAACAAACTAAACTTTTAGTGTGGGTGCAGGTGTGGATGGGGTGTTGGTGGAGGTGTTGGTATTCTGTTGATCGACACTCACAGCCTTCATCAGAACAGATTCACAACATAGATGACCCATCAAGTACTAGATCATAGTGAAATTTAAATCAACGAAGAATAAATAATTTTTATCGAAAACAATTACATATCCATTTAACGCAAATCCTCATGATACAAATCACTATACTGATACATGTCCGGCTCTCCATAAACTGTTTCTATTTCGAAACACCATGACCTACTTCAGAGTCAGAAGAAGATGAGACCTGGCACAATGCCAATCTACACGAAATGGTTTACCATAGTGACCCGTGTCAAAGCTAATGCGTCCATTTTTCTCCGTTCTTCTTTTTCTGGAGAATTTTTTAAAATCTTAATGCAGATAATCTTTTGCCACCTGATGATTCTTCTCGTAATTCAAATGAAATCGCGATTGTGATAGTTATTATATAACTTACCACATCTTTTTTCTCTATAAGTATTGAGTATTATTCAAGCATGAAAAAAAAGAGTCATAATTCAAATCAAACAAACACAATTGATAAAGGACAACAACAGAAAAAGAATGAATCTATGTATAAAGTTTTTATATAAAATACACTACGAAATACAGGTCTTATAAATGAATATGAACTTCTGTGCATGATTATTAATTATAATAAACATAAAAAGATTATTCATATTTATATTAATCAAGACAGAAAAGAACTTGTTGGCTATACGCATTTGTTTAAAAAACTAAACAACTTTTAAAAAAATATGTGTGAATATTCGGATAGAGTATATCTCAGCGGCGTAACCAGGATATTTAGGTCAATAGGCAAACTTTTCTTGCGTCCGAAAAAACCCATGGGCGAAATGGACAAGGTTTTTATTGATAGGTCAAAACTTTTTTGGCCTAACAAAGTACTAATAACGTAAAAAAAACATGCATAAGTTACTGTTGAGGATTCTTCCAATATGTATTTGTGCAGCACACATGGACATTTTCTCTTCGGACTGCGTCATTTCACATCTTGCCTTTTTCTTAATGTTTCCACATATATGTGATTGGATTTTTCCTTTCTCTTCCATGTGTCATTCTATATGTATATGTTGTAATCAAAATTAAAATTCAGCCAAATTTAAAATTTGACTGGATTTTAGTTTGGACTACAACATATGTATATCTACACGCGCATATGCTCGTGTGTGTTCTCTTGATCTGTGGTCTTGTTTCTCGTCTCTTTGATCTATTCTTCTTTATCTTTATGTGGTTAGAGTTTTTCCAATAAAACTGAACTCATGTTCACCCAAACTTATAGTTAAAATCAGAGTTGCCAGATCTTCTGAAAAGTCAGGAAAGGTTCTGAAATTTGAACATATTCCCGGTTTTATGCTGATCTTCTGATCATTCTGATTTTTACCGAATTCAGTAAACGTTTGTGCTGCTGAACTTAAGAATGAATACTAATTATTTTTTTGAACGATTTTGTAAGCATTTTTTAGCTCACAAATATTTATTGAAGGAATTTTGAACAGAGGAAAACTTGAAAAATAATATAGAATTTATGTTCTATAAGCTTTATTATTTTTCGTAAACAGAATTTTGGGCTTCGTAAAAGAATCCGACACTAGATGTCTTTTGCTAACTTTTTTTGTATTAACTAATAATTGAAGGCCATGTAACTGCGAACTAAGGAGATTGGTCATAGTCGAATCAAATGAATGTGCTCACTGGCAAACCAACTAGTTTAAAGCATGAGCTGCCAATAGCGTAGACAGACTGAGATGTTTGTATTTCAAGATATTTACGGTTTGTCATATGCCCACACTACGAAATTTCATCAACATTTAGTTTTCTTTTTTCGTCATGGCTGGATGGAACACGACTATTTACATAAGGAGAAACAATATCACACATAGCCAAAAGCAATTTGACAGCCGTTAGAATTTTTTGTTTATTATTCTTATAATTAAAAAAATATTGTCCTAGACTTTGTAGAATTTACTTTTTAATATGCGTGATATTGTTTTTTTCTTATGTAAATGGTCGTGCTTCATCCAACCATGACGAAAAACGAAAACTAAGCATTGATGAAATTTCGTAGCATGGACACATAACAAGCTGTCAATTGCTTGAAACTCGAATATATCGGTCTGTGTACACTATTAGTAGCTCATATTTTTAATTAGTTGGCTTGATAGTGAGAGCATTCATTTGATCCGACTATGATCAATCTCCTTAGCTTACAGTACACGATCTTTCATTTTAAGCGATATAATGTTTGTGTTGTCTCTCTTTATTATGAAATACTCTTGAAAATAAAGTATTAATCGATAAACTACAAAAAAGTGAAGCATTTTGGTGCAAGTATATCAACATGATAGCCCTTGGTTTGCAAGAAGTTGCTCTTTCTGATTAGTTTCTGATTTCAAAGAAAAAATTCTGATTGTTTTCTGATTTTCAAGTTTTTCATCCGGCAATCCTGGTTAAAATATTAGAAGCGATTCTTTCCTTCTCCTTTTCTTAATTGTTCACAGAAAGAACAAGCAAAAAGTGCATATGTGATTCAAACGGAAGAAAAAAATAGAATTACTATCTAATTCAAAAATAAATAAATCATTCTGAAAAAGTAAAACTTCAATGGACAAATCTCCAAATGAAATGGACAATTGCTCATTTGTCCTTCCCTTGGCTACACATCTGGTATACTTCAATGTATATGTGTTCGTAGATAGATCAATTCAAGAAAGTAAAGAAAAACTGAAAAATAAAAGCTAAAACACTAAAAAAATGTTTGTTCATATAATTTGAGTGAGTACTGTAGTTTAACTACTATTGACGTTTGTCTTGAGATTGATTTGTCTTGTTAGTTTTGGTACCACTGAAGGTGAACGAGCCAAGAAATCTGTCAAGAGTCATATTAAGTACTCCATAGTTATGTTTAGCCGTACCCAAATGATGTATATAATGAAGGGCACGCAATTCATGAAACCATTTAAAACGTTCAAGCCAATGATCTTCAACATGATAGGCATGATGAAGCCAATTTCCAATAAAAGCCATAATCATGTACCCGAAAAAGGCACATCCAATTGTCGAATATGAACAATGAAAAACTAGACGAGCAAGAATCAATTGAATGAATGTTAACAGAATAAGTAAACCTTCATGATCAGAAATCCATGTTTTGTGACGCATATAATCCCACCATGATATTGGTAATGGATCAACATTACTTTTAGAACTATTCATTTGGTCTATCTGTTGCTTTCGTGCACCGTAAAAGTCTTTTGGTGGATAAATTTCCCAATGATGTTCTTTATGTTTCTTATAACAACCTTCATTAAATGGTATCCACCAAATTCTATGATGAGCTTGCAAATGCCACAAGTAAAAAGCAATATATTCCACAAAATAAAATAAGAACATTGTATACCAATAACAACCTGTCACGTATGAAACGATGAATGAATAGATAATAAGTGCTATATACATATACCGAAGAATTGAATAGCCCGATACTCCTAAAACACTCGCATCATGTTCTACGTTGATCGATGGTTCACCAGCGGGTACAGGTAATTTCACGACATCAGCATCAATTGGTGTTCGCTTATAGTTAATAGTCGATTGTCGAACGAGAGTTCGTGCTGGATTTGATGAATGATTACCTGACAAAAAAAAATGTCATCGAAACATTTTTTCGAAATATTACTCTAAGTGAATAAAACTATTCCTAGAATAATTTAATCTATTTGGTAGAGATTAGCTTAATAAATAATAATTCATTCATTATAACAGTTTCTCAAATTTATTTTCTTAAGCTTTTCATATTCTTTCAATAGCTTTGTTTTTAATTATTTGTTAGAAATCGGTTGATTCTTTATTTATTTTACTTCTATACTTTCATTGAAACAATCTTAGGTAGTATATCTTACTTGTGGCATTTATCGAATCGATTAACCCATCCGTCGCTTGTTCTTTCTGAATGAAAGTCGTCGTGATATTGGTTTCTGCATCTTGCATATTTTGATAAATGTAACACACTTTTCTCTTCTTTTCAAATGAAAGAAAAATTTCTTTTTGGTTACGAAGAACACCTGTTCGAACGTTGTTCTGTTAATATGGCAAATGATGAATATGTGCAATTGTCGTTTTTCATTTTTTAATGATGTATGAAGTGTTTATTTGCATTAACGTCTGTATAATACATACAAAATTTTATGCTACGCACTACGAAACTTATCGAAACATTATAGAACGAAACAAACTTCACCTATATTAAGTAGATTCATAGCTTCTCGTTCCCCATGTTGACTATACAAATGAATAATGTTTAGCGAGCAACGATCTGATTCACCAAATACCTGAAGAATTTCGACGACAACTTTCTAAGTCGTTTCTATTTCTTTGTGATTAGATTTTTCAAGAGAAATGAAAATGTGAAAAGAAAACTTCGATTAGGATTCTTCAAATTGAGTAACGTTAGTGGAACTTTCACATTAGACTCGATGATCGTTCTGTTGATAGATATCTATACTTATCTAAAACAATTATTCATTGTAAATATATTTACGATGAATAATGAACTTTTTTGTTATCAATGATAAATCTGTTGATAAAAATATTTTTATTATTTCAATTTATTAAAGCTTCTATTGATTAAAAACGATTCAAAAAATTTATTAGGATGTGGGTGTGAGCGTAAAGAAGATTTATACACCCACCCATATCCTTGTCACCGTTCTTGTTATAGTTACTCTGTGCTATGTTAGAGATTGCTTTTTCAATTATCTCTATGAAATATTTGAAATACGATTAGAAATAGGTGGTATATGCTGAAAAAAGAAACTCTTTGTGAATAAGACGCGACACGAACATTCTCGACGCAAAATGATTTCATTTTTTTCATTTTGAGACGAAATAACTCTATTATTAATAAAAGCAAGAAAAAATTGCCTTTCTT